TCAACTCTTGGTCTTGTATGTATTTCGTCCGTATGTACATGCAATAGTACACAATATTGGTCAACATTATCGAATGGTACGCAAATATGTGCTAATTTACGTACACTGGGACAATCGTGTACAACCTCGACAAACTGTATAAATTCAACAACATCAGTACAATGTGTATCAAATATTTGTGAATGTGATTCAAGTGGATATTATCTTGATCAGTCAATAGTGACCTGCCAACTACTCAAAGGTCTTGGTGTATCATGTACTGCGACGTACAATTTTGAATGTGCTAGTTTTAATTGCAATGCATCAAATGTATGTGGTGATACAATATCATCGACTATAACAAGTAATGTTACACAATCATCATCAGAAATTTCTGTTAGAAGATCTTATACAATTATATATTTATTGATGAATATTATTCTATTTTTTTTTTGAATTTAAACTATCTGTGATGTAGTGACATATATTATTGTTATATGTTGTTTTTTTTAGCTCTTCTGGTGAGTCATCACAAACATACATATATATGTATGTCTACTTTTTCAAGATACTCATTTTTGTTTCGTTTCTTGCATTTTACATACTTTTTCCGCTTGTGTTTCTTTTTAAAGTCATATAAGCAAGCTATTGACATCGGCTTCACAGTTATCTATTGTACATTTCGTAATACGTGACATTATCACATTGTATTTTTTTCCTTTTCATTTAAATATATATACAGTTATATATAGATATATCAGTGATGGAATATTGATTTGATATTCAACAATAAAGTTTATAAGAATAACTCAAAGGAATTCGAAAAAGAGCGATGATTGTTTCTTGTACTGTTGTAGCTGATATTTTGTTTTCCTATTTCGTACTTATGCACACATATTCATTTATCTGGTTTCATTCTTTTTATTAAACATAGAGTTAGAATATTGTAAGTTTCATTCAATATGAAATGATGATGATTATTGTTATTGATGAAATTTAGTCAACAATAATAAAGAAATACAATTCTATATACATGTTCTATTGATTATCTTTTTAGGTAGATTTATTGTATGATTGAGAATTATGCGAATGTTCTTTAATTTTTTTTTTTGTATTTTACTTGGCACTAAATACAATTGATGTTGGGATTAAGATTCAAAACGTAACAGGATAGATGTAAAGTAAAACATATAGAAAATAAAGGTAGACTCGTTTTGATTATGCTATCAGCTTGAAAAAAAACATTAACAAAATATTTTGGAAATAGTTTAATAAACTCTATTTTACTATACAATTTCATTTTTTAGGTAAAATTGATAGTAAAAATCGTCTAAAATCTTTTATCAACCTTTTCAATTCTTGCTTTGATTACATTAGACTTTGTATGAAAGATTTATATTATATAATTTGTACCTTATTTAACTGGAAACTTTGCAGTGTGATTTGTCAATTGTAAACTGATTAGAAAATACGTTACATAAACTAATACGGTATTGGCAGTCTTCGTCATATTGCTTTGTTCGATAGAAAACAAAACATGATAGAATCTCTGTTAATTTATTTATTATTTGGAAGAATAATTTTTTCAACTCTCCTTATAATAGAAGTTAATACATGCGTATTCGAATATTCATTTCGTTCTAGAAGTTTTATTAAGTAATTCAATCCGAATGAAATCTTATTAAAATCATCTTTAACAAAGGATAATAGAAGGATTCCTTTTAACTGAATCGAAAATAGAACTTTTTTGTTTTCTCTGAAGTTTTTCAGAGTTATATATTTAAAGAAATTAATTTTGATGAAAGTTTTAAAGAACAATTTGACAAAGATTGTATTTAGTCTTCTATTTGTTTAATATTACAATAGATGACAACAAACACAAGAGGAATATTTTCCGTGCGTATGTCTGAGATTATTTACTTATAAATATTCAATCATCTTTGTTATAACAAACGTTTCATGCTGATTTCTATAAATTTGAGTACTTTAACAAAAATTTTTCATCAGTTCAGATACAGAGCAACAGAAGAAAGTGAAATTGAATGTTTGTCACTGAATTTTTTCTTTTCTTTTCGTGAAAGTAAAAATTGACGATGTCGTAGCTAGGAGGGAAGTTTATTAAAAAACACGCGTACCATTACAGTTACTTCTGTATTAATTCTTTCAGCATGTTTTACTTTCATAATTTGATTTCTGTTCTAGTCTCCTTTTTCTCTCTTTTATATTTGTATATTTCCAAAAAATATCATAATGGGTTTCATTTTATTTATGTAATTATGTTTGTGTTTTCTTATGAATCCGTTGTACAACATACTTGAAAGAAATTATATAGTAATGGTTATTGTTTTTCTATAGTATATACTCATAATTGAGTAACCATAGTGAAAAGTAAGAGACAAGAGTTTTCTTTTCACTAATAATTATGTTTGACATTTATATTTACACCTTGTTTTTCATATAGTGGAATCGTTGATGTCAACCTATTATTATCAAAGTTATACCATTCAAAATTTATTTCAGTTTTTTCACAAGAAGTGAAAGAAAATATGAGGAAAACAGAATTCTTTTATTGTAATCATAATTAAAATGTCGATCGACTTTATATTTTAACAAATCTATTGTAGATTAGATAGCAGGAAACATTTAAATTTTAGACATATTCTTTATATATATATTTATTTAGAAGAATTACAATATGTTTCAATCAGAATATTATGCTCATAATGATTGATTATTTGTTTTGAGTTGCATGTCTACCATTTTCAAAGTATTGAATTAATTTCTATATCAACATTTTATAAAGAAAAGAATGTTGTTTCACCATTTATTTTTTATCAAGCTGACTCGTTTTTCTTTGTTTTTCGTTTCTCTATTGAAAAATAATCAATGTTATTTTTCCGCTTGAATTAAAAGAAGAGTAGTAGATGTTGTACATGTTGCATTCAGTCATTATTCTCATAGATATATATTTTGTGACATTTTAGTCATTTAAAATTTAACCAATTTATACTGTTGTCTTTTTTCATATGCCGACGAGTAAAGAGTCTGACTGAAATGCAGTTGAGCTTACAAAATTTTAAGCGATTATCTTTATGCTATCGACATCAAGACATGAGACCTTTTTTTGAAAAGCTGAATGAAAAAATATTAGCAGTAATATAACATTATAAGAAAAACATTGAAGTTAAGAACACAACAAGAAAAAGCATAGGAGTACGGAATTTATATTTTTTTATTATTAAAGTAAGATTGTTACTAGAAGGGATAACAAAAACAAAATAGTTAAAATTTTTATAAATTAAATATTATTGCATAGTTTAGAAAACGTCTAAAACTAAAAATATCAATTTATAGTTTGATAATTATAAAGTACCAATACTAGATAATGATTCTTTTCCAACTCATTTTAAAAATGGGCGTCTTGAACATGTTTTCATCTGGATGATTAGGAACTTCAATTAGATTGTCAATTTAAAAAAATAATATTTCAAAACATTCTTTGTTTATTCATCTTAGCTACCATATGCCACACATTTTCCTGAATGCGCCAACTACTCTTTTTTTAATTAACTAGATGAATTACGTCTAGGAATTTCAATGCATAGTCGTCAAAAGTTATAGCTATGTTTTATAACTTGTATTCCACAAAACAGTAAGACATTAAAAGAAAGTACAAAACCTAAATAAATTTAACTTAAAATGATAGTTTCAGTCATCACATCATATCATTCATTTTAAGTTATAGATTAAATATGTACATAATTGAGTTTCAATTTTAAGAAAAAGTTGAGAAATAGTCACAGGTAGCCCATAAAGAATGGACCTCTCAGCATTTTGTATATATCTCGACAGTATTAACACGTGAAGAAGCAACACTTTTTTAAAAAGAATGCATCTTTTCATATCTCTACGATCTTACACATTTCAGTTGATTCAATTAAGATTCGTTACTTTCGATTTGATGACGAAATGTATATGTATAACATCCAGAACTTTTACAAAAAAAGCTTTTTGTGAATTTATTGTTCTACGCGCTTTAACTCTTGAGTAAGTCTCTTTTCTTCAGTCTCTCTATTAGTTTGAACCAACAAACGATAAAAACATATCACTAATGAAGTATTTTTAAAGTTTCAAATTTGATTTATTTGTCTCTGAATAAACATTGTTCCTATTACACATAAATGTATGCTAATGATATTGTTGTTCATGTATGAAGTTGTGGGTGTAGTTTTATGCTAAGTCCTGGAAATCTTCATAAACTTAAACAGGTGCATATTACAGCTATGGAGTCGATAAATTGCCGGAACAATGTTTATATACTTCACATTTGTCAATCATCTTTCGAAATTATTGAAATTTTTGACAAACTTAAACGAAATAATAATGGCAATTTCACATGTGAATAGCAATACGAGACATTTTCGTTTGTTAACAATAATGTTTATGCAGAGACAACTAAAAACCAATTGTGAAAATTTTAAAACGCTTCATTAATGATATGATATTATCCGTTGCTTCATTCAAACTAATTAAGAGACAAAAAACTCGTTAGTTATCTCATGAAAATATTTTAGGAGGAAAAATGGCTTTAACCTCACTAGGCTTTTGTTTTCTTTTCGACTGTGTTCTACAGAAAAGATATCTCTAAATACTTATTCATTCTTATTTCATTTTGAGAAATTCTATTGTTTGACAAAGTTTGTCATTCAGACAGTGACCTATTAATAATGATTTTTCGAATTTATGTTTTTAGTAGAAAGAATATTTCTAACAATTGGATATATTGTATTTAGTACTCGTTCTTTTTTTTAATATAAATTTGATGCATTTTACAGATGATGAAACTTAACTGATCGTTTAATTACTATCAATTAAGAAATTGAAAATAATAAACAAGCAAATTTATTCAAATCAGTATTATATTCAATGTTGAATTTTCTAGTGTGAAATGTCCTATGTATTTAGAGCAACACAATTGTAATTATCTTTGTCTAGATTGAAATCTTTGGAATAATTTCATTATGGTACCAAAAATATTTCGAGATTCTTTGCTTTTAGCGGGAGGTGTTCTTATTTTGATTACTGGCATTCTTATTGGTTCAACTTTCTTCGGAATAAGAAAGGTACCATATGTTATATATTCTTCATTATCAACAGCTCAGAAATCAAACAACAATTTACAATTGACTGAGAAAAAAAATGTTAAATCATTTTCTTTCGCATATAATAAAACTCATCTTTGGTCGATGCGTCTTGCTGATGACAATTATTATCGTACAGCTCATCTTTTACCATGCCGTACTGTTGAATATACCAACGGTCCAAATCGTGAAATAATGAATACTTGTAATCAATCAATTATAGATGAATTTTCAATAGAAGCAACCCTACATGCGCAACAATGGCTTTATGAACATCAGCATCCAATCGATTGTAGAAATAAAAAATTTGCAATAATACATTCATTTGCTTGGTCTGGTATTGGTTCGACTTTACATCAAATTGTATGGGCATTTGGTAAAGCATTAGCTGAAGATAGAATTGCCATTTATGAAACACCGGGAGATTGGGTAAGAATATATCGAATCTGATTCGATTTGATATGAAATCGATTAAATTAAATCTTTTTTCTTTGAAAAAAATATTATAAAATAATGAGAATATATGTTTTAGTAAAATTGATTCTAAAATCATTGATATTATTTGACAATTGATTATTACCTCATTAACTTGAGTTACTATTTGATTTATTTAAATCTTCGTTTTCGTCTTAGTCTATCATAGATAAACGATGAGAATAATACAGGACAGATAATCATTCTTTAACACGAATTCGAGATTCGATAATTGTAAGGTCTATCGAAGTTGAATGATAATAGAGTACAAGTAGTCGATTGTCTACATCAGATTATGATTTCATTCTTTTTTCAACGATTACAATTGTCCACTTAGTAGCTAATAGTAATTATCTTCTAATACTTATTCAACATATAAACATAAGAATGACCTATACCATACAAATAGATCGTTATGTTGACATAATTTCGCAATCAATAGTTTTTGCTTCAATAATTAATATCGGTCTTTTCATATCATAAATTTTACATTTTAGTTACATAGTAGTTGTATATTGGGTACACCTGATTGTGTTTTTCGTCCAATTAGTAATTGTTCTATCCCTTCCACAGTTGGTGATAATCGAACAATTCGTATTCCAGCTAATATTGACCATTGGTTCGAACCTACACATCCACCTGTTTGTCAAAATCGATCTTTCAATTGGTATCGTTCACAATTGTTATTCTATTTAATGCGATATAATTCTGAAACACTAACTCATGTACAACGCATAGTTGCCAGGTATTTTAATCCACCATCAGTTGATCTTCATCGTCCATATATTGCTGTTTTTGTACGTCGATCGGATAAAGTAACCGGTCGAGAAATGTCACAGTCTTATTCTCTTCAACAATATTTTGATTTATTCGATGCTGATGCTCGTCAAGCTAAAATAACAAATGTCTATATTAATTCAGAAGATCAAAAAGTATTTAGTGAATTTGATCAAATAAACAAAAATAAAACCGGATATTACAAATTATTAAGCATTAATGTTACAAGAGATGTTACTTTTCGGTCATTACTTGGCATGCCAGTGAAGCAGCACTCTAAAATTATATTAGAATTTCTGACTGATCTTTATATTGAAGCTAATGCCGATCTACACGCTGGCACACTTACGTCAAATTGGTGTCGAATGGTTGATGAAATAAGATTTGTTCTAGGCAAAATAATAACATTCTATACACCTGAGAAGAGATATATAATAGATGTGTAACGGTAAAAAATAAAAATTTCATTTTCACTACGCCAAGATATGTTTTCATTCGAATAATATATTATTTAATATTTTAGTTGACTTTCTAAAATTTCCATTGACAAGTCTTAGACTCTATACTGTATCAAGTGAATATGTTTCTTTTTCTAACATAATAAAGTCAAATAAAATTCCACTTTCATTCATATTACCGTGCTGAAGATATACAGTAAATAAAACAAAGATAATAAAATTTGAAATGATTCTATTAATTTCTGATATTTTTCTTTCGACTGACAGTCATAAATACTTGAACGTCATAATTTGAAAACTTCATCACAACAAATAAATTAAATGAGAATAATCAGCATTGTTTTACAAATAAATAACAGTCTGTTTCTGATTCAAATGTTCTACACAATATGCAAGCTTTCAATAAACTTATGTAACAGCTAGAAAATAAAACTAATACTGAGATTCCATAATGTTTTCGTCTATCATGTGTAACAAGTAACTATAGTAGTGGTTGCAAATCAGAGATCATGTAACGAGACCACATTCAAAAGACAAATCTATATATTTAATGAACCAAATATCTTTTTGAATTGCAAGAAAGAGCAAATGATTCATTAGATTTATACGTACTTAAATATTTACAAAAGAATCTAATATTTATTGACACAAAAAAGAAATATAATACACAATCAAATGAATAGAAGTATATATCGTAGAGATTTCGACAATCCGATCCGTACGTTACATCTGTTTGTTGATTGAGTTTCAAATTTATCAAATCGAATTTTAATTTCATTTTCTCTGATACATTCTACTCATTTCTATATTTGTCTTATATTTGATCGAAAAAAAAACAAGTGTCGTCATGTGGTTTATATGATATATTTATACATTACGAAAGATGTTGCAGTATTTCTGAACTAATTATAAATCTATTACTCTTTCATAAAGTATAAAGAAGCAAACTTCTGAAACTTGAAGAATTTCATTTCAACATATTAATAAATAATTTTAAGATCTCATGTTCCAAGCTTAAACTGTAGTACATTAATGAACTATAATAATATTACTACAGATTTGCTCGAAAAGTTTTCAAAAATATTTATTAGTATCATACAATATAAATATTACGAAATAAAAATGTATTTATGTGTTTTATGATAAACCCATTCGTCAATGAAAATGAACAAAATTTTCATTTTTATACATAGCGATTGATCGATGAGATAAAATTCAATAATTTTTTCATTTCATTTTTAGTTTAACATATGTCTGTCAAAAAGATACAGAAACTCATATTTCTTATATCATTCTGACACTAAATAGGGTTGATAAATATTTTTGCAACCTTTTTTTTAAATATAAAGTAATATTGTAATGGTGCTTAGCATTAGCTTGAGCAACATCACTTTTGCGTCTTACATTATCTTGTGTATTGTTACAGTATTCTCTGTAAAGTTTTAAAGATTTGTACATAGTGTATGGAAGAATAAGAAGTTTTGAAATCGTTATTAAGTTAGTGGAACATTTTTTTAATTCTCTTACTGATTTATACATTTCGTACATTTACCAATTCAAACGTTTAGTTTTTAATTCTATTTAGAGAACATAATTAATCTAACATAAATAAATAAATTAGACTTACCATATTTGAATTTGATCTCATCAGGTCGAATTCTGTTTTGTCGTATCGGATCATACTTATGTTGGACAAATTCACATGGGCTAGGGCTCATATCTTACAAATAGAATACAGTATTCGTTGTTCTGAGTTTTGCTTTTAGCATTTGTTATGAATATTTATTTAAAACTTTTGGATAGGACACAGCAATCCAAACATTTCATGACAATAGTTAAGCAAGCAGTTTTGTTTGATTTGACACAAGTACGAACACATCATATCATGTATAAGTAATATCAATGCATATATGTTGTGTCTTATTTATTAGATTCAGTACAAAATGAAAATAAACTATCTTAGTGTCGTTTATTACAAACAAAGGCTGTGCTTTTGCACAAAATATTAAGACGAATAGATATATTTTAATTTTGACTTCCAAAGAATATAATGATGGTGGAAATTGATTTCTGAGATTAGAAGAGAGTTGAGCATCATGTACATCATAAAGGAATGGCACAAAATCTGGGTCAAGTGAAGCCTCTTTGAACCAGTGAAAATCTATTGATGTTTTAATTATATTCTGATGATTTTATCGCGTATTTAAAATATTATAATGATAACAGGTTTTGATGCTTCGCCTGATTTTTGTGAAACTCACATATATTTTCAAAGAAAATAGTAAGTCGAAGTTTTGCGATTCTCTCCCATCCTCCAGCCATTACGGATTTTAGCCATCGAGGACAATTGACATCCGATTCCTTTCCCAGAGTTCCTTAGCAATGGAAAAAAGCGCCGAATGGTATTAACAACATGATTTAGGCTATTCGAAAAATTCTAGAATATTCCAAAACCTTTCTCGAAATTTCAGTGGCTCTAATACGTTTGTGAATGTTTTCAACAGTGTAGTGTTTTATTTTTTGTGCAAATATAAATGTATATTCAAGATGTTAATGATGATGTATGCTGATGCATTGATTCGCCATAGCTGTTATATGATCAACATAAAAAGAGTCAAGTGATCAAGTTATAACTTTGAAAAATAATCAGTATCAGTATTTATCAATTAATAGAGATATATAATAGTGCATTAAGACCAGCTGCTGTAAACATAATGGATATTTACAAAAGCCTTACTTACCATTTAATTCAATGCTTAGAATAATAACAATATTTAATTAAGAAAAACGAAATACGAAATACGAAAATGAAGAATAACGAGTGCATAACAACAAGACTAACAAAAAAGTAGAGTGACCTTAAAAAAAGCAAAAATTTCTGTTCAAAGTGCAAAATCAAATAAATCATATTCTTACTCTCTCGTGATTGATTATCTGGCAAAACAACTCCAGTCTACGATAGATTTTTCACTTTACACAATTTGTATTAGTATAATCAGGCTAAAAAACATATGTGAGTTCCACATTTCAGCTCCAAAGGGATTTCGCTAACAAGCTTTTTCAAACTAGTTGTAGTTTGAGATTTAACAGTCCTTTAGAAAGAAATCATTGAAGCATTTTTTTTCAAATATATAGAAAAACGTTCACATCATATTTTTTATATTTCACAATGTGTAAAAGAAAAGAAAAATTCATTGAATGAAGAATTTAACTTGCAATAATCATGAAATATATCATGAATAATTAGATTTCAAATATTGCCAATATGAACATGATAAAAATTAAAAGAATCATGAATATATATATAAAATAAAGGAAATTATATAAAATCATCACTCATTATCTAATGATAATTGCATACCAGATTGTCTTTTTCGATCTCGTGAACCATTTGAAGAGACATCATTTTCATTGACAGGAGCTTTTATAGTTCCATTTGAAGATGTTATCATTTTTGTTACAGCTTCTGATGAAATAATAGCATCTTTAAAATGATCTTCAGTTTGTTTACTGGCCCATCGCTCATGTTGATCAATATAACGCTCATGATCAATTTTATTTTGAATTTTCTTTGGTACATCTGGTACAAGCCATTGCATTATATAAATAATAAAAAAGATAACATGTTCAAAAACAATAATAAATGCAAGACGAGCAGCTAATACATTCCAGAAGATTGATGTTTGAGAATAATCTGGTCCAGTTGAGTTACGAAAATCACGATAACTAAATTAAATAACAAAAGTATAACAAATATAAAATAAAAAAAAGATATCAAGTTTTTCGTTTTGCTTACCGACAGATAGTTAAATTATTTGATCCATCCTCCGGCATCGTACCGGTACGATTATAATCAGCAATATTAAATGACGACAGTGTCCAATTAACATAACCATTCAGACTTCCTCCAGTTGATTGAATTGAACGATATGCCATTTTTGGAATGAATTCTGATGTCCAAGCAATAACAACTGCCTAAAGTAAATTAATTGATATTTTGATACCTTTGTGTATTTCACAACGAATACTTACATTTGTTAGAACAGCAACATATGATATTGCAGAAATAATATCACTCCAAATACCAATATCGGATGCTTTAAATGGAATAGGTCGTTTATATTTAGATAAAAATTTCCATGCATCCAAACGTATTTCAATTATATTATTTAATAAAGCAAACAATGGTGCAAGTCTAAAATTTATTTTAAAAAAAAATTAAAAGTTAAGATTTTATTAAATCAAATCAACATACGGAAAAGCAGCGACAAATAGTGTAACAAAACCAAATTGAATAACTATATAAAGAATAATTACAACTTATTTATATATATACGTATATCTCGATGCATAAAGATAAAATGAAAATTTTTACCTAATTCCAAATATTCATCGATAAGTGTATTGGAATTAAAATCATATAGTTCATTATCTTTTTCCCATTGTTCTTGTGCCTCAGTTTCACCACGTTTCCAAAATATTCGTTTTAGTGTACTACCCATTGCATTAAAGAACTCGAATAAATTATTTATAATTTGTTTTCCAATCATAACTACATTCATAGAAAAATTATTATGATTTATATCGATTTGGCTTAATAATCTTACTGATAAAAAATTGTATAGAAAGTTCGACTAAACAACCTGCTGGATCACACTAAATCACAAAAAAAAATTGAAAGTATTTTTCTATATTTTCTATTATTATTTATCTTGAAACAAATAACTATTCAAGTACAGCGTATCAGAATAAGCGAATCCCTATACAGTAGCAAAGCAAAGACTTCGAACCTGTTCAGTAAAATTTCTCGAATCCGAGTCAGCATAAGTTGATGGATATTTATGGAAGCTGAATTGAACATATAGTTCATTTATACTTCTAATAAATTTAATTTTACTTACCGTCCTTTAAAAAAGGCAATATAAAATAACGATGAATAAAAATTGACAAATTGAAAAAGATATATTTTAATCGTTAATGAATCATCATATGTCGATTGATATTTATGAAGTTCTACAAAATATTTATTCAATGAAAAAAAAATGAACCATAGAAGTTTGTTACCAAAATCAGTTAATTTTCGTGCAATCCAATAATAAAATCGTGATAATATAATAGAACAAATAAGATTCATAATGGCACTTGTAACAGTTATTATAATTGATGAATATGTTTTAACACTTGATTTTTTTAAAATATAATCCATTCGAGAACGATATGCAATTGTTCCAAAAACAGTTGCACATACAATAGCCATCTAAATTATAGAAATAATCAAGCTAATTGTATAAAATAAACTTGTAAATACCATCAATAAAACAACAGCACCTGCAGCTAAAAAGAATGGCATTCGTGTTCGAATTGAAATATACGGTTCATTTATCTAAATAAATATTTATTCATTGAAGTCATAGTTTTATACAGAAAATGAATACCTCAGTAACAGGATTAATACGCTTTTCGCCTTTTTTCTTCGCTTTATTTTCAAATGCCGGTCGTATTGGTTCAAGATGTTCTTCAAAGCCCATTGAATCCTATAAATAAAAAAGCTATATATTATCTTCATTTGTAAAAATAATCTATGTACCCAATCATATTGTAGACCTGCCTGTCGACGTTTCCAAAATTCAATAAACCATCTATTCATATGAATTTACAAAAAACAAATGTAAACAAACAAATATTCTATTTATTATACCTTGCCCATAAGGACATCAATATGGAAAAAACAACTGTAGCTGCATTGTCAAATACGTATGAAACCTGTAATAATCATATTCAATAGAACAAATTCATAAGATGAAGAATCTTTCTGATACTTTTGAATATAAGCAACTATCGCTGAGTTTCCAAAATGGACATGTTCTATCACATCTTGGACACATATGTGTTGTCTGTCCTAATTCTCCACAAATATCGGATCTAATTTTATTATCAAAAGAAAAACCAGTTTATTCAAGTAATATATAGAGATAGATATGACATGAACTTACGTTGGCTGATCTGAAAAAACACTACTTATGCCATAGATAAATATAATGAAACCAACCAATGCAGCTGGAACTAGCATTTGATTATAAAAACCACAGAGTGCAAAATAAAATGCAACTTTTTCACCCATATATGAACGAATTAAAGATAATGGTTGAAATTTAACACATTGACGCATTGTAGCCCAATGTTTTTTTAATTTCTGTTATTTTAAAATATACATATATTAAAACTTTTGGTTGTTAGAAAAAAATTGAATATACTTCTCGATCATTTAAGTCACTGTCTTCTATATTTATTGCATCATCTCGAAGAGACTTTATAGAACATCACGAGAAAATATATAAATGATTATAAGAATAATATATAGTTTACCTCATGTAAAGGAAAATAACACTCGTAGGCTTTTTTTGTTATTAATCGATCAATACCTAAATAATGAATAGGAATATTAGAAGTAGAAGAATGGGACACGAAAAATCATTATATTCTTCAATAGCTTTACTTCCTATCATCAAAAAATGCAATAATTTATAATTTCAATCAATTTTAAAACTTTTGAAATTCATGAATTCAGATATGAAATAAAACGCAATTAGTGATGGGATCATAGCGAGCAAAGAGGGTGAACGAAGACAATTCTACAGGTGTCAAGTCGCTTTCCGGTGGAGACGATATTCATTTGATGAATACTATAGACTGATAGAAAAGTCTGGAATAATTTAGTTTTCCGGATCTTCGTTCTTGAGATATCGAAATTTCATTGAGTTTTTCAACAAAGAGTTGTAGTCCTCTTCAGAACACGTGGATAATCGACTTTCGAGTTTCGACTTAGAACTTTGCACGAACCAAGTTCTCAATGATAATAATTCATTGGACAAGTTGTAACTTTTCTAGTATTTCTTTTTTAGAAATGTTAATATGTGAGGGAAAAGGTACTTTTAAACATAAGAGAATTTCATATGCTGAATATTTCAAGATAGGAGATATTACAATAGTGACAACTTGTTCAATGAACTAGTATCAATAAGAGCTTCGTTTGTGCAAATTTTGAAATTGAAACTCGAAAGTTGATTTTCCCTGTGACCTCAGGGGGACCATGCACTGCTTTTTGTTGAAAAATTCAGTAAAATCTCGCTATTTTAAGAAAGAAGGTCTGAAAAACCAAACTATTCTAGACTTTTCTATTACTCCCTAATACTCATCAAATGAACGTCGATTCGGTGGAAAAGTGATTTGACACCTAGAAATGCTTACTCGTCAAGTACCTAGAGAATGTTTAAAGTTGCTTTTGAGTACGATCTTACAGGAGGTCTGAGGAGGTTCAGTCCGTCCGGTCAAAAATTCTGGCGGCGCTGCTACCTGCGATAATGTCTCATTTGTTTGTTTTTTTTTTTTCGTATACTTTGAGATGTCTTTCTCTTTATGATGAATTAAATAAAAAAATGATTGCCTTTCTATAACATCTTAATGCTTAAGACTTAGTCAATTTATGTCGAATCTTCACTGAATGACCTTGTGTAAAAGTATCATATAAAAAGCTATACCATGAGAATGTTCAAAATATTAGAAAATATTTACTTTCCAATAATGTGAAGTCACGCTAGTTACTGTGCAATATTTACTTTGAAAAATTGATAGAAATTTTTGAAGAACTATTACTATTTTCAAAATGATTGAACTCATATTGTATTATTTTAAAGAATTTAAATAATATTGGAATAATCTTATTTATTTTTACCAGGTCGTTTTGAAAGTTTCTGTAATTCAGCTGATGTATTCGTAACTAAAATTTAAAGTATACAAAAATTTAATATAGTAATTTAAAATTCAACTTACGTGAACGTATTGTTACTGCATTTTGTTGATTATCACCTTGATTATCATCATCATAATCAAAATGAGCTCTTGATAATAATTCATGTGTTAATAAACTTCGTTCAGTTGGTGTAAAATATAAATCTTTTGAACCACGTAATGTAGCAAATAAATGTTTAAATTTATCGATATTTGATGAATAGATTGCTGTATAATAATCTGGATCATTTTGCTTTAATGACGAATCAAGACGAAATGATTTTTTTAATGATGTCGTAAAACGATGCCAAGCTGATTGATTATTCTGTGATGTTGATAAATCATTTTCATTTTCATCTTCTTCTATTTTCTATGTAAACTATTATTTAGAAGAAATCATAGGATTTTATTTTTTTAAACCGACCTCAATTGGTAATCTCATTCGCATATTTTCAGCAGTAAGCAAAAGAATATCAAATGGAGTATGAACTTTAACAAATCCAAATTGTTTCTGATTTGATTCCTATGTAATAAAAAAACAAAGATAAAAATAAAACTTACATAATTTCCATAACCATTCATTCAACTTACTGCATGCTTAAGAATAAGACCTTGTTTTTTGCAAAGATATTCTTCAAATCTTTTTCGACGTTCTGCTGGTGTCTTCTTCTTTTTAGCTTGATTATCCTGAATACTTTCAACATTATTATCTTTGTCTTGATCTGTACAATCATAAACAAGTATCAGATCAATGGGTAAAGAATCACTATTTGGATTGGACGAAACTAAGACCGATCGACGTCGCAAACTTTGAGTTTTAGCGTCGATTTTATCGTTAGTAGTTCGAGCATCATTTCTTGACATTTCTATAGAAATAAAAATCATTTAAAAAAAACTGACTTTTCCACTTTATTTATTTAGTATTCTAAGCGTTATAAATATTGTGACATATGATCTCCCTATTTTATGCACACACACATGTATACACTCTATTAAAAAATAAGGATTTTTGATAAATATCAAACTTGAATGGGTTTACTCAATCAACAATGGTGCTTATAAATGATAAGAGAAATAAAGTTATAACGTCGTTGATCATCAAATACTTGAATGTAATATAAAATACGTATTAGTTTTATTTCCTTAGTTTAAACTTGCCATGTTCAATATATATTGTGTTGAGTATTTGTTAACTAGATATAAATAGTAAAAATCAAAAGAAATCCTTTAACTGCAAAAAAAACATTTATATTTCTTTTGCTTTTAATTTATATTAAAACTTAAGTAAATAATCAATGCAAAGAAAAGCATAACAACCGCACTTACCATATTCTTGATATAATGGTGGCAGTGCTACTACGCGTGTCATTCAGAATTTTATTTCTTTATTTCTATTTTCATTATCTGAAACCATATAACAACGTCAATGATTACTGGTGACAAGTATAAAGACAAACAAGACAGTTGTTATATACAAGGTTACTCATAATTAGTGCTACAATAAAAAAATAAAATATCGCTGCACCGGTTCAATCAAACGAGCTAATTTTTTTGAATAATGATAGGAGTTCAGTCAAAGTTTCCTTTTTCATATGGATAAGCTAAGTAAATACTACTATTAAATATTATTGTTGGCGTCATGAAAGCAATTTTACCTGTTATCAAGTAAAAAAAAACATACATGTGCAAAATTTCATAGATAATTTTCGATGGTCATCAAAGAGAACAATAAGAACAAGTCAAAATGAATTTTATGGCTGATTTCGTATTTGATATACACAGAGCAAATTCTCGAAACCAACCAGTTAGTTGAAATGATGAAATTCATATCCCATGAATAAAACACCCAATTATAGCCTTTTGGGTACCAGAACGCCAACTTTCTTGCAAAAAACTAGTAATACATGTTTGAAAATTCGAAATTTTTAATATTGTTGATTTTCAAATTAACTAGTTTCGAAAATTTTCCCTATATTCATAAACACAATTTCACTCGTAAAGTTCGTTTTAACTTGTTCTATTATTCTCTTAGATGATACTTGAAAATTATCTATGAAACGCTGTTACACATGCATTTTTTTTACCTGATAACGCCTAAAATTGCTTTTATGATACTAACGATAATACTGAATACTATTATTTGCTTACCCTATGCGCATAAAAACAAAACTTTGAATAAACATCTACCACTAAGCAAAAAATCGGCTCATTTGCTTGACCCGATCCAGAGATAGTCATTGTGCTGTTTATGAACTATCCTATATATATATATATATGTATACAAATTCTCAGTTGAAATATTAATGTATTCCTCTTTCTTTTACAATGATATCATACATTTAAAATAGCACAAAGATCAATAAATCGCCCTTTGTAAATTCCTTTTTTCAGCCAATTAATTTTTTTTTCTTCAGGTTTCTTCAAGTTATTTTTGTCGCTTGATATTTTGTTTCCTGGCAACGACACTCAGTAAAAAAAAAAGAAAAACCTAATAAAATATAAAAAAGTAATGAAAGAGAATCATCGACTATTTTATCTCGTGTGACATCTGTAACAGAATCAAGAAGAAAAAACAAATCTGCATTTAATAATAAATTAACAGGAATATCTTATGATTAAAAGTTAGATAAAAGGATTTTTTAGCACACATGTTTGATGAGATTTTTTTGAGGAAATCATAACTATTATCATTAACGAATGAAGCACTTGCTTACATATATAGATATGAATATCTATATAAAAAAAAGGAGTTAGTTGCATGTAAACAATCGAAAGTCAATTACTCGAATTCCCACTGCAAAAGAAAATAACTATTGAATAATCTACTTGATTTCTTTGTTTAAAAATTGTTGTGTCAATGATCAAAGAGCAATTTCCTTTGTCTAAAACATGCACATATACACTGATATTCTACTTGACTATTTTTAAAATAGATAAAGTAATTTATAATAGATTGAAACTTAGTTAATTATCTTATAAGGAAATATACATTATTTGAATTTATATTTATGTTCTAATTCATAAATATTATTCCATTATAAATATGAGAAAGATTTTCTCGAACAAGTATATACAAAAAGAATGTTTTCTTTTCTTTGATCAGATAAAAACAACATCATTGAATGCACGAACATATTCTTCCATGAGAATTAGTGTTGCAACTATTTTTTCCGAAAATAAATTAGTAACAAGTGTATATTGTCATGCATCATTTTCCTTTAATATTTTAATGCTTCTGCTTGCTCATTTTTATCCATTAAGAAAACGTTTATTTTCTTTTTGTCATTGGTAGTATTCATTCAAAATCTTAATGATGCATCCTCTATTTATTAATAAATTGTTAATAATCTAGTAAATAGATTTCTTTCTCTTCATCGTATGTTATTATTTAGTCGTTGATTGCTACAATTACCCACACTATGTAATAATAGATATCTTGAATATTAAGAAATTCGAATGGAAGAAAAAGAAACTAGTCTTTTAACGGTTTTCACATAATATAGTACTATTTAACAGGTAAATAAGTAGTAGTATCCATTTTTCTCTGCTTCCTTTTCTTTTTTATTGATGACGAGTACACAACCAAGTGAAATAATAAGAATTGTCGAGCAGTAGTAATAGTAGTACTTCGAATCGTTCTATTAAGTTTTAGTTTTCCATTTTATGCCCTTTTCTTTCTTTGTTTGCATTTGTATGCGAATGTGTTTATCTCGGACGTTCAAAAAGAATCTGCAGAAAAAGAAATAATCGAATACAACAATATTATCAATTTTTGATAAAAAAAATACTTTTCCAACAAAGTACTGTTTGAAGGTATATATACATATACATTCCTCTTGGAGAAGATAGATTGAATCAAAAAGAAATAGAGAATGTGAGGATAGTTCTTATAACACTGTTTTATAGATGAAGAAAACATGAGAAAGAGAATAGAACCGGAATATAAAAACGTAGCGGAATCAATGAAGACAATTTATTTCCAGTAGTATATATATTTTTCATCGAGCAAAATTCTCATACAAACAAACACAGTAAAGTAACATATATATGATAATGAAAACGCTGCTAACTAGTTTAGGATGTGTACGTGACGGAAGCATTCTGATTATGTTTCTTCTTCTCTTTTCTCTATGTTGTTTCGACCTATGAATTTATTTAGATTTTGTATTGTGTTGTTGATGTAGCTACTGTAAGAACATTCGATGTCATCCTTAGAGAGAAATCGAAAAAGATCGTAACAAAATAATAATTTTTTTTCCACTCATCATTTTATTATATGATGATGTTGTCTTTTCTTTTTTGCTCAATCTGACATTTCTCGTGACAGCTGTGACCAAGCATATTTTTCTTCTATATTGTTTTAGATTGCTGTCGTTTCTTTTTCATTTAGTCAGAAAAAGAAATTCGTGGGAGTAAGAACAAGCAGATTCATGTTGTTCGCATTGACTTTCTAATAGATAGATATACGAACAAACATTAAGTATTTTCAATGGCTTCTGATGACAATCCTCGTTTACCATTAACATCTGGCGCTTCAACTATTGTTAAATACACTGAAATGCGCAGTCAGACAGAGACACCCTCAACAACTATTACTATGACGACAATGCCAACTTCACCGCCACCATTTTCTACTTCAACTGATCCTAATCAACCAAAAAAAGACAATACTTTACCACTTAATACATATGAACTTCGTCGAATATCAACACAAGAACGTCGTGTTATGAAAAAGGCTTTAATGGCTAATGTTGGTTATCGTTTAGCTAAACGAAAAGAGCTACATATACAACGGTAAAAAAAAAATTCTTAAAAAAAAAATAATGTTTTGTTTTTTTATTTATTTATTGTTTTATCATAGTCGGCTTATTAATGATATCATGTGTTTTCTTGGTATATTGGGTATTATTTTAATGATAATTGAAAATGAATTAACATTTACTCGTCTTGTTCATAAGGATACAACATTCAGTTTATTTATAAAGGCAACAATAACATTTACAACAATACTTCTTGTTGGTTTTGTTTTTTATTATCATCGTATTAGTTTAAGTCTTTATTGTGTTGATAATTCAATTGATGATTGGCGTATTGCATTAACTCGTACAAAAATATTTTCAATTCTATCTGAAGCATTTATTTGTATGATACATCCAATACCAGGTCATTTTCTTGTTGCATGGAGTTCACAATATGTTAAAAAAGTTGAAACAAGTTTTAATTTTGTTAATTCATATCGACCAATACCTGATTCATTAAGTACACCAACATTATTAAATTCAACAATGACATTAACAACACAAATAAAACCACCAGATAATAATGAGCTGCCAGAATCTTATGTACCAATTGACGTTATGCTAAGTTTACCAAGTAAAAATTTAGATTTTAATTTTGATAGAAACGAAATTTTGTTTGATTTTCTTTCTTAAATAGTGTTTTGTCGATTATATCTGGTTTGCCGTTTTATAATGCTTCATTCTCATTTGGTACGCGATGCATCATCACAATCACTTGGTTATCTTAATCGAGTTTCATTTAACTTTCCGTTTATTATTAAATCATATATGAAACGACGGCCAGCACTTTGTTTAACATCAATCTGTATTAGTACTTTTTTTATTGCAAGTTGGGCTTTGCGTGCATGTGACTATAATGTTAAAAGAGGACATATGTCAATGCTTGATGCAACATGGTTGTTTATTATTTCTTTTACAACAATTGGTAATTGATAATTTTCTTTTCTTTTCTATTTGTTATATATGAAGGAGGAAAAAACAATTATTTATCATTGTTTTTGTTTTTAGGTTATGGAGATATAGTACCATCAACATATTGTGGGCGAGGTAAAGTTAATTTATATCATATAGATATTGAAGAATAGGTTTTTCTTTTCTGTATAGAAAGTTAATGAAAAGTTCATTAAATCAATTACTCATATAGAATAATTTAATCTTTTTTTGTCCTATGTTTTTTGTAGTCAACTATGTGTTCAGAATATTAATTATACGCCAACTATTTCTCGTTCTATTTTTCTCACGAAAGAACTACGTAGTATGCATTGCTGCTTCCTTTCGAGAAGAAATCAATAAAAAAGAACATAGAGAACATGATAAATTTAATTAAATGAAAAAAGAAGAAAGCAGAATTAATGTTTTAGAAAAATAATTAAATTTAAAGAAATGTACTTATTTCTTTTTATAGGTATTGCTGCTATAACGGGCATCATTGGTGTATTTGCAACTGCTCTACTGGTTGCAGTCATTTCACAAAAACTTGAATTGACAAGATCAGAAAAATATGTGCATAATTTTGTGGCAAGTATTGAATTAGCTAAAGCACATAAAGATCAAGCTGCAAATGTTGTTAAATACGGTTGGAAAGTTTGGTATTTACGACGAAAAGGTAAATCCAGATTTATTCAATATATTCAAGCACAACGTAAATTATTGACATCAATACATTTGGTTCGAAATATTAAACAACGACAACGTAAATTAGCTGATAATTATGTTAGTTTACTGGAATTATTTACTATTCAACGTAGCACTAGTGCCGTAACTGATGAAACATCACAACGAGTTGTTTTAATGGAACAAAAAGTTGATAAAATGGAAGATCAACTTATTGAAATCAATCATGGAATGCTGAATCTACAAGATAAACTTAATATTCTATTGGATAGAATAACGAAAAGATAAATATATCTGTATACTTTTATTTTTTCTTCCGAATAAACCCCATAGAGATCAAACATAAACAAGCGAATTGATCGAGCAACTATTCAATGCATTTCAATTTTGTAAGATCATTTAAGCAATATATAACTATCAAAATTTGTTTATTCTTATTTTTACAATTGCAATTAAGAGCTCATCTTGTGATGGAATTCTCTAAGAAGAAGTCACAAGAGAATAGTTTTCATGTCAATATCACACAATAGAATTATATTCATAAATCATGACTTTTCTGACTATTGGAAATAAAATTGAATGATATAAATCAGCAAAATCATAACTTCATTTTTAATTTTTCATAACTATTGTGATATTATTATGCAAATGTCGAGATGCTTCAAAACTGACAACAATTGGAATGGCCGGCTTACAAAGGCATAATATCCAATATTATTGAAAAATTAGACCGTAAAATCTCGCAAACGTGGGCGCCATTAGGATCGGCTAAAAGTACTCATTTTTCGGAAGTACTCATTATTGGAAGGTTTTCACTTTCTTTTTAACAACTTATAAGGATTCAACTGCAATGGTTTGTCGACTGTACAAGATAATCTTTTTCTTCTTTCCAACAATTAATTAATTAAACTTTTTCAATCAGAAGTAAATCAATGCATACTGACATGATTTGATGTTACTAACTGTTAACAAAAAAATCATGTGATATTATATCGAGCACTGTTACTATTGTCTAATATCGGTTTTCATTTTCTTTTTAACATCCTACCGTTAGTCCATCTCCTTTTCCTATGTCCGATGATTGTTTATCGCAACATATAACACATCATTATTTTTTTCTTGTTTTACACATGAATCATAGAATATATGTTGCTCACAGTACAAAGGTTGTTCTTGGTCATGGGACCAAAAATAAGTGTCCACTGCTCAGAATAAGAATATACTTATGCTAGAGAGGTTTCGCTGTATAAATTTCTCTAATTAAACATGATTGATATAGACTAGCAAGTAAGCTAAGAGCATCTTATGAAACAAATTAGATTTTATCATCTGAAATTTATTGACAAGCTATACACAAATGAAATAGTATGTGTTGTATAATATCAACTAGATAAGAAGTTTTTGATCATCATGCGCTGATTTACGGGCGATTAGTATTCTGTTAAACGATTTCATCTGTCCAATTAAGATTTTTATTTTGTTTAAAATATTTAGAAAGCATTCAATGAAGTATAAACATTCATGTTTCAGTCTCAATTATAAAAAAATTGCTTGTAAAAACATTTCAATGTTGACTCAAGCACAATTACGAAGTTAAACAAGCAAACAGAAGTTTGCAGAGTTCGATCTAGCATTGAGTCATATTTTTGTACATTCCTTTAAGTGTAATACGAAATTATAACACATATATATATATATATATATAAACATGTTTGGATGAGTTCGATTTGTGCAAATCAAACAAAATTACGTCTACATCTTTTTTATAGAAGTAATTAATTATCAATAAAAAAATAACTTTACTTTCGTTTAAAAAAATCTAATAGAAAGAATCTATCGAAGCCTTTGCAAAAAAGTATAAAATAATAAAAACTGCATTTAAAAAAAATTTTTCATTGGACAATTATATTATAAAGTTTCTCAAGTACTTTAAGGAGAATACTTAAACGTTTGGATTGATGAATATATTGTAAAATTCTTTTAAATGTGAAAATTTTAGCAAAAAGAAATATAAGAAAAATTAAAATTTGAATCGATCAAATTGAATCCTACACAACATTAGCTTACCACAATGTGAAGTCAATGATGAATCATTGCTCAATTATGGGAATAAATTTTTTAACATAAAAGACGCAGCAGGAAGGTTTGGTTGAGAGGTTACCTGCTAGCAGAGACAAGAATAGTGTCATAATGAAACTAGAATAGTATCAAAGAAATCAATTATTTGACTACTAATAAGCATTGGTGTGTGTCACTATCAATGAAATATGTCTTTACTCTAAAATCTTTCGTACTCATTACTCTGTTATGAGCGCATGTACATGTTATCTTGCTGGCTCAACTCTTGATAGAGAAATTATGTCGAGAGTTTTCAATTATCTACATATAAATTTTACGTTATTATTGTATTCAACATGTCAATGCTACTTTACTATTCTTAACGATTTTTTAACTTATATAATACTGCAAGTGAATTAAGTAATATAAAAATTTCTTATGTTACAAAGAATAATATAAATTTTATCGAAAATTCTTTTTATCAAACACAGATATATTGAAACAAGCAGGTAACTCGTCTAGTTTTATTGTGAGACAAAATTGCATAGACTGAAAATAACAAAAATCAATATTTACGAAGTATAAAAGTAACAAAGGAAAAGTCAGATAAGATATTTTAAAAAACATTATTGTTTTTTTACATCAATGCTTTAATAACAATCAACTCAGTATACACTTGAATTGTGACCAAAACAAACAAATGAAGAGAACTTTGTATATTTGTTACCATTTTTATTCTAATTATTCATAAATTTTTGAGTAGACTTGGATAAAAAGTATGTATGTTAAATACAAATTTTGAAAAAGGTAAAGTTTAATTTTTCTATATGATTAGAAGTTTATAAAGCTTAATATGAAAATATTTTTCTTAATCAAACAATCATTAAATTTTTTTTTCTTGCATGCCAACAAATCTTGTTTTGCTCATTCTTTGTCTTTCTTTTCTTCTTTCTCGCTCTAGTTAAGATTTCCGTTTGTTTATTCATTCTTCAATAAAATATTCCGTTCTCTTTTTTTCAATCATTGTCATCACCATTATCAACGCATTTCAATCATGTGTGTTTGTGTGTTTATGTGTATTTTTAAAGGATGTTGTGCTGTCGTCGATGCACAACCACAATCATAGGAATTTTATACTCTATTCTTAATGTCATTGGAAAATTTTTTTCAATGTTTATTTGTATATTTTCTTTGATACAAATGATTCTTACTGTATGATGACCTTGATTTATCTAATAATATCAATATTTTTATAGAAATGACGCAACAAAATATGTTCAATGATTGGATACTACGTCCATCATCTGCTCATGGCAATCTTCAAAGTCATCCATGTTTTCAATCAAGTCTACTAGATGATGGTCATGCACCAGGTACAGTAGACGAATGGAGAAAAACTTTAACAAGTAATAAACCTCAATTACGAATGGCTAATATTAATCGAAATGCTGAAGATTATGATCAAAATTTAGAGATTAAATCATATTTCCAATCGGTAAAAAAATAACATACAACGAAAGAATAAGAAAATGAATTTCATTGTATTTTTGTTTTCATTTTGTTCAATATCTAGTTTAAAAATTTACGACGATTAACTATTGCTAATCCAACTAATATACAACAATATGAAGTTATTCTTTTAAAACGAGCTAAATGTTATGCATTAGTTGGTCTTAAAGGAGAGGTTAGAAAATGTTGAAATTAAAATTAAAATTTATATTGATTTTATTTTATAGCTTAAACCAAAAAAAGAAGATGATACAAGGGTAAATGAAATACATATTTGAAATTTATTTATTTTATTCATTTCATTATCATAGGGCCGAAGAACTCTTTCAACAGCAAAGAAAGTTGAAAAAGTAATGAATGATACTGGTTTTGTTGGTCTTTTCTTTTTAAATAGTCTTCATTTCTATATAGGAAGTAGAGATTGATGAAAACAAAAATTTACCAGTAAATATCCAATAATTTAATATGAAATAGTTTTAATTTTAATTTTTTAATTTCATTTAGATCGAAGAAAGATTAAATATCAACGCACTTGAATTATTAAAGCGTGCCTTTACTCAAAATATAACACCGGTTGACCTTGATATTGATGAATCAGGTCAAATGAACTTAGAAGAATTTACTCGAATTGTTAAACGATGTATAGGTTCACAACGAAGCGTATGTTTAATTACTTTTTTTAATAATTATTCTCTGATTTGTTTTCCTTTTTGTTTAAGATTGATGATCAAATAGAAAATTTATTTAATAAAATTGATTATAATGCTGAACAAATAATAACATGGGATGAATTATGTACATTTCTTCAGCTAAATTTTAATGAAAAAGCAGATGCAGAATATCATACAAAAGAAATTTCATTTTTAATACCAGCTAAAATTCAAAAAACACCACATCGATATCCCTGTTCGACTATTGTACTTTCTCCTGATCATCAATATTTAGCATTAGGAAGTGTAAGTTAATTATTACTAAAAATTATATTTAGATAGAATTGTTATGTTCAAAGGATGGAACAATATCTGTATGGACACCAAATGGTGATCTAAAAATAGCAAAATCTGTAGCAGTAAGCAGATTAAATTGATTTGGGAAGAAAAGCAAAAAAAAGCAAATTAATATTCTGTTTCTAGGCAACTGCAGGTATTGATCAAACACTGACGGCAAGAGAACGTTTGGAGAAAGTATGACTATCACTGCTTTTGTTTGTCCATTTCAATAAATATAATTGAATTCATATAATAGCGTAAAGATCAACAAACTCGTTCTCAACCAAAATGGATAACGGATTGTCAAATAATACCAGAATTTAATAAAGTTGTTGTTAGTACCGGGTAAGAAGAAAATATATTATCTTCATTTTGAAATTTATTTGCTTTTATTTATATAACAGAGACCGTGAACTTCAATTTTGGGATCAAACTTATTGTTTCAGTACATCACGTGAAGTTCAAACAAATGATCTTCCATGTACACAAATATGTTCATTAGATAGTGTACCGATTAAACTTAATTATGGGTAGATTAATGAATATATTGAAAATTAAATGAAATTTTTTTTTATTTAATTAGAATAACTTCACCTGATGAATTACTTCTTATTTATGGTGATACAGATGGTTGTGTTAATATTCTTATATTTCTTGCTGCCCGAGAAATTTTTCGTTTATTAACAACACTTGAACGTCGAAAAGGAATTCCAACAGTTAATTTCGATCGTTTTCTTGATGCATATAAATGTGATTATGTTCGTTGGCAAGTTCATCGAGAATGGATTGGTAAAAAAAATAATCAAAAATAATTGAATCAACTTTTTTTTCCGTTTCTTGTAGAATATATTTATTATGATTCAAGACTTAATCAAATAATATCATGTTCAAATGATCAACATACAGCTGTTGTCATTGGTTGTATACGAGCAAGTGCTAGTTCAGAAATTCAATTAACTGAAAATGGTTTCGCTGAGTTAAAAACTTCTCAAGCTAAATCAAATGATCTAAAAGGAGGAGCACGTAGAAGACGAGGCACAATGTCAACAGGTTATTATTTTTGTTTTTGATTTTTTTAATTATTATTATTATTTTTTTGCTCAAAACAAAACACAATAGATTTAAATGATGAGAGTACTCTTCCATCAGTGACAAATATTCGACATAAACGTGATTCAACAACATCCTATTTAACACATTCATCTTCTCAAGATACTCATTCAAGAAAAGCTGGTCTTCAAGAAATGCGAACTGATGTTGTAACAGCAACAACATCACGTTCAAACATTCGTCGTCAACCAATAATTCGCAATGCACAATTACGTTGTGATGCTGATCAAACTGTATTTAAAATTCATAAAGGTGCTAAAACATTTGATTTATGTACAGGAAAAAATGTTCTCGTTACTGGTGGAATGGATCGTGTTATACGTTTATGGAATCCATATTTGCCATCTCGACCTGTTGCTAGACTTCGTGGTCATAATGCACCTGTATTTCTTGTTAAAATAGCTGTTGAAGATGATCGTTTATTTTCTATATCAGCTGATAAAACTGTTTTGGTAAGTTTTATTTTAACAAAACAGAATTTTTATTTTGATCAACGGTTAGATTTTTATCATGAATATATAAAGAAAACCAATTCATTATTATTTAGACGAGAAAAAAAGCAATGTCAACAATATTAGAAAAACAAAATAATAAACACTTTAGATGGTGTTTTTTCGATCTGATTTAGATTTTTTTCTTGAAATTTTTTTCTTTATCGGTGAACCGTAAATAAGCTTTGTTTTAAGTGGTGGAAGTGTTACTGGTTCATTAGGTACAACATTAAGAAATGATGGAATTGATGTTATAGAATAATTAAAATGATCTGATATCCAATTAATTGCAAATTTATCTGTACGAAGTTTTCCTTGCCGTGTATATAAACGTATTGCATACATCCATGAGATATCATTCCATAGAGAATGAAGTTTCATATTAATCCATGTATAATTTTTTTCTTTTGGACTTTTCCATTTATCTTTTCCATATTCAGTATCAAGATAATCAATAGGTGAACACGGCACTGAAAAACGAGTACCAAATAAATCACATGAACACAGTGTTTCGAGTAATGGAAGAGTACGTCTGAAATATAAAAAAATATTTTCTTATTAAATATTTAATTTAGGTCCTTTTTTTTGTATTTATTGAATATAAGAATGCAAACGACATTCAGGAAAAATAGAATGATTTCCTTCCGAACCCGATCACTAGATACTTCCGCATAGAATAAGAGAATACTCTTCACTATTATACCCTTAGCTATAATTCATATTTTATAATGAACGTACTAAAAGACTTCATGCTTTCAAAAAAGTTTTAATTTACTCGAATTGATATTCTATTCTGTATATAAGGAAATTAGAAAAGCAATGAACAGTGTTTTTCTATATAAACTTAATGAGATGTAAAAAGGTATTGATATTAGAAATTTTGCTCGAGTTATTCTCTATAATTATAGATCTTTCTAGATTTTTTACTAAAATTAAATGTTATCATCATTAAATATGAGCTCTTTTCATATGATAATGATCTCTCTTTGACCCTTCATTTAATTAAATTTCTTATTATAAAAACAAATATACCTAAACTTTGCTCTTTGAACTTGATAACCACACCATCGATGATTACCTTCACGGTATGCCCAAAATAGATCAAGCGTAAATCGACCCGTGTAGAGACGAAATTCAAGCGAATCATTAACCTATTTTATTACTTTGAAATTAGTTCCACAAAAAAAAACACCGTAAAAATATTAATAAGCTACTTACAAGTCCTAATGCACCCCATAAATAAGCAACAGGATTTCCAAGAAAATGATTTCGAATACTTTCATCATATTCTTCAGCAAAAAGACCGAAATCTGCATCTTGCGTAAATGGTATTAAACCACAATGACGATACCAACCTATGATACAAAAATATATTCATATAAAAAGAAAGAATTAGAAAAAACAAAATTTACCAAGTAAAGTTCCACCAGCAAGCCAATAATGTTTTTCAAGTTTATTTAATGAATAAACAATATGTTTCATAGGTGTAACAGTTAAATTTAATTGACTAGCATTTTGATATAAATGAAATTGATTTTCCATTTCTTCTGCTAGTATTCTATTACAATGAAGAAATTTTGATGTTTTATATAACCATAGAAAATGTGAAACGTTGCGAGGATAAAAAAATGAATATTCATGTACATTAATTTCCATACTATTATTTATAACATTAAAAAAAAACGCAAATATTTTATTTTTCTTTTCAAATTATAAAATTCTTACGGTTCAACAGCGCGAAGTGTATCACCATATGATAGTTGAATATTTTCAGATAATGGAAGAATATTTTCTTGTATGAGATAAAATGATTTATATTTATGCAAAACAGCTAAATGAATTATTTTTTGTTTATATTCAATAAATATATGATCAATCGATGTTTTTTGATTTGATAAAATATTTTCTGATATTTTTATTGAAAAATTTGTTTCTTGAAAATATTGAAGAAATCTTTCAACTAAATCATCAGTAACAGCAAAAGTAATTAATTGTGTTTCTAATTTATCAAATGATAATTGATCAATAAAGAGATAACTAAGTACATATGGATCAATTAAAAGTAGATTAATTTTTAATTGTAATAAACGATCAAGCATAAAATAGAAAGTTGAATTTGATTGATGATTTAATCCATTCGATTGCTATTAAAGAAAAAGAAGAAGAATTACTTGTTTTTTTTCTCGCCTGTTTCAACTCACTGGTTTAAGATTTTTTGATTGTTTAAACGTTCCAATAGTTAACCAAAAAAGAATATAAATAAACAAACAAAATAAAATAGTTGATTTATTTTGATATAAAAAACGGATAAGACCCATCGACTTTCACTTTACATGACCGATTCTCATTTGATAATTCAAATCGGAATGATGACAGTACCAACTATAATAATTTTATTTTATTAATTCAATTACACGGAATAATAATAATTGAAAGGAAAAGAAATAGTTTTTGTGATTGCGGTTGACAAAAGACACGATTGGATTGAATAGGATGGGTCATATGAGTAAACTTTTTGAGAAGAATGTAACTAAAATAAGAAAAAGAATAAATATAATAACCGTAATCTACGTTATTTATTATCTTTATGTTATCAGTCTCGAATAAAAAATGATCCTATGAGTATGTAATCGATCTAAAAGAGAAAACTATTCGCGCTCGTGTTTTAGTTAATACAACATACCGAGTATACGATGCATTTCGTTTTCCTGGAGTGAATGAAGACAAATGACTCGTAGTTTTTTTTTTTTTTTGTTCTTTTTGAGCTAGAATAGATCGACTAAGGACGTTACATCAGCCAGGAAAATGAAGAGGACAAGGAAGAATGCGAAAAACGGAAGTGAATCACCATGATTTAAAAGATGCATGTTGTCATCAATCCGCATAGGAATGGAATCAAGGATGCTAATCTACATCGAGTCTTTCTTTTTTCGCTATATAACTAATCAACCATATATATTAGTAATCAAGTATTGATTATGTACACCGTTACATATATATACGTATATGTTTCGTTCTTTAGAAAAAAAAATACGATTCAAATAGCCATTATTACAACTATTATACTCTATATTCGTCCTATACAAGGTCAATCTATCAATAGAAATAGGCTGAGTGCACCAAAACGAATAAAACTCTCTGAAAACTTGATTCTCATATATAAATAATGCGTTTGAGTTATGGGTAATAGAAAAGACCAACAAACACGCATTTTTTTGACATTTGACAAAACAAATATTCTTTTTCTTTTTGATGATCTCTTCATTTTTTCATGGCCTAAGGATCAGAATAGCATAACTTGCGTGTATTTTATTGTTCGTTGAGGAAAAAGAAGAAAAAAAATAATAATAATAATTTCGTTCTCTACCTTATCTGCATTGATTTACTATTGATTTTGACGATAGACATAGTAAATATAGTAATTCTTGTCTAATTGGACATATTCTCAATAAATAGTTGACATTAAATAAAGGTTGTCTCTAGTTAATATAAACAAAAGCTTTCTCACGTTCTTTTTGTCTCTTTTATCAATTTGATTTACCTGTATCAATAAGTATAACAAACAAAAAAAACAAGAGATAAAAGCAACCTGTCATATATGAGACAAGAAAAATGGCGAGCGAAGGGTTGCACTAATAAAACACATATGTACGTGAATGAGAAAAAGAAAAGGATCAAATGCGAACAAAAGAGATAAGCAATGAACTTTATCAAAAAAAAAAATCTACGATAATCAATTTCATTTATTTCAAAGGTATGGGATCTTATTGAACATACACTATTGGCATGTGTTCGTTCTAAAGTTCATAAAATACGTGGAGATTTACAAGCCGTTTGTTATAATCCCCATACACGTTGCTTATTATTTGCAAGTGAACAAATCTCATTCTTAAATCTTAAATTACGGTAAGTAAATAATTTTATTTCTAAATAAACCATACATAAAAATGAATTAAATATGATTTCATAGACCTTATTTACATGCGGATGTTGTTGTTTCACATTATGAACCTGTACTTGGCTTACTTTTTATCAAAGAATTTAAACAAGTTATTTCTTGTACAGAAAGTGGAGTTGTGCGTTTATGGGACTTTCTAACTGGAAGACCAGTACATGAATTTCGAGCACATAATGGTCAAGCTGTAACATCCATGGCTTTAGATACAACAGAACGAAGATTAATAACAGGTAGTCGAGATGGAACATGTTGTATATGGAATGTTCATAATGGACAATTACTAAAAATATTTAAAAAACCACGTGGTCAGTATTTTAATATTAAAGTTAATTTTTGAGTAAACAACGTTTTTTTTCCTAGATTCACTTGAAATAACTGATGTGACTTTTATTGTTGTTAATAATAATTGTTCAATATTAGCTGTTGGATGGGATAAACATGTAAATGTTTTTAAAGATGATCGTGAACGTATAAAACAAGTTTGTTTTCCGGAAGATCAATTTGTTGGTGATAGTCAATGTGAAGGTCATCAAGAAGATATATTATGTATTCATAAATCTCAAGGTGATTTAATTGCAACTGGTGATTATGGTGGAACAATTATCATTTGGAATATGGCAAGTAAAAAAATATTTGCTTGTCTAAAAGATACTACTGAAAAAATACAAGATTCTGCAGGTAAAAAGAAATATTCTAATTATTATTATTATTATTATTATTATTATTAAATATTTATTTCAATATAGAAAGTTCCAATGATCGAGTTGTTAGTCGTGTAACATTTATTGATACGAGATATGGTCGACATGACATAGCTAATTTAGTTGCTAGTGGACCTTATGGTCAAATTCATTTTTGGAATATTTATAAAAATGGCGTGTTATTGGCTAAATTTCGACCGGTAACCATTTATGATAATAAACCAAAGTTTCGATAAATAAATATTAATTTTAGAATAAAGAAAGAGTGACAACCGTAACACAAGTTAAACTCGATCTTACATGTCATCTTTTATTTGCTTCTGATTCATTAGGTAAAACATCTTTTTCTTGTCTCTTTTCATTTGTATATGTATGTATATATATATCTTCTTTTTTTTTTCTAGGCTTTTTATTTATTTATGAAATCG